ATTGACGGAATCTTCTCACCAGCCCACTTGTTTGTCTTTATTGTAAGCTAGGATCAAAATTCTAATGGCTTTTCTTTTCTCTTGTTACTGTTCAACTGCCATCTGTTACATTTTTTATTATTTTCTTGAGGCCCTTCATTTGACAAAATATTTACTAATGAGTTATTAGTAACCTTAATTATTGAAATATAACTACATTAATTATTTAATTTGGTCGAAGTATAATTATGTGTGTTATTTAATTTGATTCATCTATTCACATATATTAGTCAATGCCTGGACATATTATCCTATATTCAACACAAATCTTCCATATAATTTGGAACAATGCAAAAATTAAAACCATGTGGTTATTTCATTAAGGCTAAAGTACTTTTTTTCAAAGCCTCAGTTTTTTTGTCCTTGTCAAATTCTTTAAATTATTTTAAACAAAAACATAGATACATAAAAACATAAAAATGCGTATTAATGGGGAACCAGGTAATGTTTCATTACATGTATATATATTACATAATGTTTAAATTAGGTTAAATCAGGTTAAAATTACTAAAATTACTCCAAATAGTTATCATTTTTTTTTATGATGGAAACTTTCTTTTCTTTCTTCTTTTTTTCTTTTTGGTCTTTTTGGGACAGGGTCTCCCTGTAGCCTTACCTAGGAACTCACTATGTAGACCATGCTAGCCTTGAACTCACAGAGATCCTCTTGCCTCTGCCTCCTGAGTGCTGGGACTAAAGGTGTGTGCTACCACGCCTGGCTATGATGAAAACTTTCAACGTGCCGCCTCCTAGTTTTTTGTTTTTGAAATACACAGTACATTGGTATGTATGGTCACTTGGGGGTGGGACCAGAACTTCTTGCTTACAGTTAACTGTTATTTGGTACCTGTGTTCAGCATCTCCCTTTCCTCTTTGCTCCCCGCCCCCAAGCTCTGGTCACCCCCATCTTCTCAAGTTCTATATCACTTTTTATTTATTAAACCTTTTTTGATTTATTTTTACTTTATGTGTATGAGTGTTTTGCCTGCAGGTATGTAAGTGCACTATGTGTGTACAATGCTCCTAGAGACCAGAAGAGGGTGTTGGATCCCTTGGAACTGGAGTTACAGATGGCTGTTAGCCACTAGGTGGTGGAACTGAACTCGTGTCCTCTGCAAGAGCAGCCAGTGCTCTTAACTGCTGAGCTGTTTCTCCAGGCCTGAGATCACATTTTAGATTCCATATGGGTGAGATCACGTGATCCATCCTTGTCTTACTGTGCCTGACTTATTTCACTTAGCATAATGTCCTCCAGTTCCATCCATTTTCTGGAACTGACAGAATTTCATTATTTTTTTTTAAAGGGTAAGTACGGTTCCATGTTGCATACAAACTGTATTTTATTCCACTCATCTGTGGATGGAATCTGGGTTGTCTATACTTCTCAGCTGCTATGAAAAGTGGTGAACAGAGGAACACAGATGTCTGTCACTCACAGTGGCTTCATTTCCTCAAATAGATACCTAGGGGTGGTAGAGTTGGATCCTATGGGTAGATTGATTTTTAACTTTGAGGAAATTCCATACTGATTTCCACAACAGCAATTCCACTAACAGTGGGCAGAGGTCCCTTTTCTCCACATCTGTATCAGCACTTGTTATCTTTAGTTCTTTGGATGACAGCCCTTCCTATGGGGCGAGGTCATGCAGCCAATGGTTCTGATCTGCCTCTACCTGGTAAGCATCGATGTGAGCTTCCCTCCCCTTGGCCACTTTTGTTATTGCTAATTCCGCCTCCCTCCCTCCCTCTCTCCCTCCTCCCTTCCTCCCTCCCTCCCTCCTCCCTTTCCCCCCCTCCTTCCCTTTTTCTTCCCCTCCCACCCTCTCTGACCTCTTGCTTTGTCTTCAGGCTCCTGCCTCAGCTTTCTGAGTGCTAACACGCCCAACTATAGGCTGATATTTCTTGAGATAAAAATCAAAATTAGATTCTAAGAAAGTGTGCCCAAGCAAACAACAAATCACTGATCAAGGAAATTCCAGCCTAGGCTTTTTCTAGGCAAACATATTCCCCTTATTCCCCTTTTTAAGTTTCTTAAGTTGGACGACAATGAAAATGCCTCAGTGCTGATTCCACGATTACAACAGTGCATTTACATGCTACCCCTAGAGCAATGAATGGCACAGAAGTTCTCTCTCAGCCTCCCCAGTGCTGGGATTTTGTGTCCAACCACACCCAACTCCTGTTGGGCATGGCATGTCTTTAAAAATATTTTATTTATTATTTTTATTTTATGTGTATGAGTGTATTGCCTGTATATGTGTTAAGTGCACCTGTGTTGTTCAGTGCCTGTGGAGGTCAGAAGAGGGAGTCAGATCCTCTGGAACTGGACTTACAGGTGATGGGTCCTAGAAACTGAACATGGGTCCTCTGAAAGAGTAACAAGTGCTGTTAACTGCTGAGCTATCTCTCTAACCCATATTGCTTTTTGAAACAGGGTCTCTCCCTGGCCTGGAGGTCACTGGTTCATCTAGTGGTCAGAGAGTCCCAGGGATCTGCCTGTCTCTGACTCCCAAGTGTTGGAATTGTAAGTGTACACAACCATGCTCAGGTTTTTCTGTGGGTTCTGGGGATCAAACTCTGGTCCTCAGGCTTGTGCAGCAAGCACTTTACTGATTAAGTCATCTCCTCAGCCGCTCTAATGGGTTTTGGAGTGAACTGAGTTATATTCTATTTTATCCTTAAAAATGTGACTGTATTCCTCATCTCCTTCCAGGAAGGATGTCAGCAAGTGTACAACAGAAGGCAATGAAATCTTTCACAAGGGTAGAAACTAAGAACTGAAAGATGAAGTGTGCATCTGGCAGGGTGTAGACGCAGGGGGCGATTACACACATCATTCAGAATAAAGGGAGCTCCTGCACTTCAACATAAAACGGCTGTCAGTTTTTGGAAGTCAGGCACAAAGAGAAACGTAAGGGTGTTTGCTCCCAGTGAACTCTGGGAGCTCACAGGGAGGCTTCTGTACGAGCATGAGAAGCCCAGGCCCAGGCAAGTGTCCATTGAACCTGTCCTGGCTTTCCAGTTAGCCGGAGGTTCCTCTCGGCCATGAATCCCCTGGCCCTGTGGTTCCTTGCCACCATGCCCTACCTATGAATTGGTTTAAGGGATAAGTATCCACTCACTGTTCCATCTACTTACATGCCAGATACTGGAGACTTGGGGGTGGCCTTATTCATGGGGTCGTAGAAGGCTTTCTAGGGGAGTTACCAGAGTTTGATTTGGAAGTTGACGTGAAATGGACTTGCGGTAAGAGTCCAAGTGGAGGAAGAAACATCTGGGGTAGGGGAAGAGGTCAGAGTGAAGGCTCAGAGGTGACAAGGCCCTGGACATCCAGGGTGAGGCTGTGTGTAGGGGACAGGGTGGGCAGTGAGAGCAAGAGACTGTGGTCATGAGGACAGAGAAGGCAACACAGACCTGAGAGATGGAAGGGACTTGGTGTGGGGAAAGGGAGGGTCAAGGACACTGCCAGGTGTCTATACAGGGAGCAAGTGACTGGCATCTCCTCCTTTCGATGGGGAAGTGGAGGCGAGGAGGTGGGACCATGCTGGGTTGAGAGGGGCAATGTCTAATCTCCAGGGCCCAAGATGGGAGGGAGATGCTGTCAGTGTCTCGGGGAAGCTGGAGTCACAGGAGTGGGATGCTGTGGGGAAAGGGAAGTGAGGGTCAAGGGCTCATTTAAGAGGTTAGCAGGATCTAATAGAGGAGCCAGAGAGTCAGAGATGTGTGTGTGGTGGGGAGAGTTGGCTTGGGATGGAGCCAGAAATAACCAGGGTGGAGGAGGGGCTAGCGGTGAGTTTCAAGAAAGACAAAGACAGTGAAGAGCAAGCAGTTTTGTTCTCTGTTGGTAATTTATGAGCACTCTCAGGGGATCATTAACTCAGAGAACATATACCTAGGAAGCATGCTCTTGAAGCAGCACCAGATATCCAGGGAGAACGAATTCCAAGATGTCTATAATCATCGATCACATTTAAAAACAGAATTCTATAGTCCTCAGGCAGCAAATGCTTCATCTAACTTGCAAGTTTTGCATCAATTTCACCCCTAGCTCTGATCACTTCTCTTACGCATGTAGCCACCTTAAATTCATTCAGTTGATCTGAGATTATTAGCTCCACCTGTAGCATCTCTGCTCCCAGACCAGTACAAATGAACAGGAAGAGGGATGTATACTTATTAGGCTTCCAGCTGACTTTTTTTTTCTTACTGGTAAATAAATAAGGAAGGAGGGAGGAAGGGAAGGAAAGAAGAAGGAAGATACATTGCAATGTGTCATGTTGAAGCCATATCATCAATAGCTACTTTGGCCTAGATGATGTCAATGATGTCACAGATGTGACAGGCACAGGAGCTGGGGTAGAGGCCGCTTAGGGAACAGTGGCTGAGAGTCAGGGAAGGGGAAAGGCTATGGGGGACTGTGCAGAGTGAGGTCATCGTGGGTGAAATGGAGGTGATGGGAAGGAAGTGTCAGTGGGGACAGGGGAGCCTGGGGTTCCCTTGGAGGAAGGTGATGAATCCTTGTCCTGATGGCTCTGCCAAAGGCAGGAGAGGCCAGGTCTGGGGAGGGGCTGGGACATACGGGGAACTGTTGTATTGTGTGGAAGGTCCCAGGAGAGAGAACAGGGACTGGCACAGTCTCTGCCTCCTGCCCTAAAGGGGAGCTATTTCAGAATGGTTGACCAAGAATTGAGTTTCTAGGGCTGAAAGATTCAGGGAAAGGCTGAGGACACAGAGGGGCTAGTTTGGGAATTATGGATGTCAAGAAACTAAGAAATGACAATACTGGGCACAGTGACCTCCAAAGACAGTAACTGGTGTTTAAGAGGGAAGACCTGACCCAGGACCCGGACCAGGACCAGGACAAGGACAAAGAAGTATGTGTGTGGCACCTCCAGCCAGGTCTGGAGCCCATGTTATCTCCCTCAGCCTAGGCTTAGGAACTAAGAAAATTTGGGACTCACCAGGGTCGCCTCTTCGTCCAGGTTTGCCTCGCCTTCCTGGGGGACCTAGACAGGAAAACAAGGATGGATTCATTGAGAACGGAAGCCAGTGGGTTTGTGCATGGCCTCTGGATGCCTGCTTTCCAATGCCAGCAGAGTTGGTCGAGCCCACTTGCCCCCACCCACAGAGCACTCTGGGAGCAGCCTCCCCGAGGCTAGTGGAAGAGGGATGGTGGGGAGACCCCTCTTCCTTCTGCCTCTCTCTGCCCTCGCTCTTCCAGGCCCTCCTCCACAATGCCGTCCCCATCCATCTGTTCTTTTTTTCTTTTTGAGACAGGGTCTTCCTGTAGACCCAGCTGTCCCGGAACTCACTATGTAGACCACGCTGGCCTTGAACTCACAGAGATCCGCCTGCCTCTGCTTCCTGAGTGCTGGGATTAAAGCCATTTATTCATTTATATTCATTCATAGGCTCTCCCTCAGCCAAGATTACTCCCCGGACACTTGAAACAGGAGAGTTTGCAGCTGACAAACTTCAGACTTAGGAGGAAGATAAGGCTGAGGGCAGAAGTTTTCTTACAAAAGCCCCGGAGAAACGCTCTGTAGTATCCCCTAAACAAAATGACAAAGCCAGCACCATAAAGATCAACACTAATTTCCTGGACACAGGTTTTGAATTTGGAGCTTGTGCTGGAATCGCCCAGGAACCATCAACCTGGGAAAGAAGAAGCTTCTAGCACCCCCAAACAAATGGCTGCTTGCATCTGCATAGGAGTCACAGCTGATGGGGTGTGTCAAGGCCCATGCCTGTGGTATCTGCACCCATTTCCTGGCCAACTGACTCCTAGACATCTCCAAGTGCATATCTCACTATCTGAGGCGCACTGAGGCCCAACACTCATCTTTATCTCCTACGTGTCCATTGTGGGACTGGTGACATCTGGGAACCTTGTGAACCAGCCACGCAGAATAACTAAGCTCCAGTGTTTGGGGGGAACTCTCAGCGTCCTTGGCGGCCTTCTAGCCTCTGTGGATGCATTTGTTTTTAGGGAGTACAAACATGTGGGGATAAGATCTCCATCAGCCTGCTGGTACCATGCTCTTCAGCTTGTGGAGGGAGAATACCCAATTTTTACCCATAGAACCTTGGGGCCCTTGCCAGGCCATAGTAGGCCGAGCTGTGGGGCATGGCAGGAAAGGAGGCCCAAATGGGAAATAAAAAACCAGCGCCGTGGCATTCTGACGGTCATCACTAGGCACAAGTATAAAATTCTCTGTCTGTGTTAACTTAGGCCAGATTTGCTTTTATTGAGGTGGCTGAACAAATGCATTTGTCTGGGTGGTTCTCCTGGGTGGCATGGTTCGGCAGCAGGCCCACTGGAGAGGGATGCAACAGAGTTAACTGGGCAGGCAGGGTGGGATGCCCTGCCTCTGGGGGCCTTCCTACAAAGCTCCCAGTAGCCCCGAGCTGGGACATCCCTGAGCATGCTGGGCCTGTGGGCTGCCCGCTTTCCAGACTGGCTGTGACTCCTAGCTGAAAGGGTCCAGGTGGAGAAGAAGGAGGAGGCTGCTTGGGGACACACTCCAGGGCTAGCCCCAGGAGGTTCTGGAGACTTTTGTGGGATTCACACACATGGCCAGTGGGTCTACCCTTTATTCTGTTCACACTCCGTTGCGCAACTCAAGGGAGGCCACACACCCAAACCCAAACTCGCCTTCCAATTGCTTCCCTCACCCAAGTGAAGGCATCACCAGCACTCAAGTAGCTAAGCCAGATGGCATCTGGGGCCACCCTGCCACCCCCTCCCCATTCCCAACCTCACTGCTTTTGTTCCCACCACCCCCACCCAGCCATCTGCCCCTTCTGCTTCATCTCTTAACAGGAGGGAGCTCACCTCTGAGCAGCCAGGCTCTTATCTAGCCGTGTCCCTTTCCCAGCATGCCCTGGGGATGTTGACCGAGAGAAGGTAGAAGAGAGTATGATGGGTAAGGTGGCCTCAGTCCTCTCCTTATTTGTTTCAAATAACCATTAGTCAGGTGTGTCTAACCTTTTGATAGGGCAATACAGGGTTGTCATGTACAAAGTTTAGGCTCAAGAACTACCCACTCAAGTTGCAAAAAACCAAAAAAACAACAAAAAACCCCTTATATTTTAAGTAAGGTTATGACTCTGTGCTGGGCCACATTTATAGCTATCCTGGGCTACATGCACCTATGGGCCTCAGATTGAGCATGCCTGGCAAGCCAACAAACTCCAGGGCTTAAGAGAAGACATAGCACCACCGACTTTGATGGGCCCAGGTGGTTTTGAAGTGGTGTGCTTTCTGCCTCTTTTGCCCCCACTTCAGGAAGATGGGGGAAGCGGGCTAGGCTTGGCCATCAGAGGCCTTGGGAGAGAGGGAATATACTGAAACTGGGCTCCACACTACTAGGAGGTTTCTACTCTGCTAAGTTTGCAAACAGCAAGGTCAGATACACAGGGCGATTGGACTGTGGGTGCTGAGGGTGGGGGAACAGGCAGGATGGTCCCTTAAGACCATCTAGAGGTCCCAGCCATGGTGCCTTTGGACATGAACTTGGGACTCTTTGGCTCCAAGTCTTCCACTGCTTTTCCAATATTCTCATCTCTTCTGCAGTCCTCAAGTGACGGAGTAGAGATGAGAGCAGAGACTAAGCCAGGTGAAAAGACTTTCCCAAGGTCCAGGCTGGTGTCTCCTGGAGTCTTTCACAGACAGTCTGTGGTTCCTTAGGTTCAAAGGCAGTTGGTCTTGACCTGCTGAACCACTAGCAGGCAGCCTTGGGGCCCCAGCATATCTGAGTATCAAGCAGATAGGCTGACCTCCAGCCTGCTGCAGTTAAAATATGATATGCCTCCAAGCCATGAAGAACTAGGTCCCATCAAGTTTTTTTCTTTGATTTTATTTCCCCTCCTTTCTACAAGTAGGAGAGGCTCTCCCTACCACCACAGACTCAGCCACTCAGGAAGATACCTGGGAGTCTATCACAATTGGCCTGCTCATGCATATATGGGGAAACTGAGGCTGGGAGGGATTGGACAGGTCTTGCCCAAGGAGCTGCTATCCCAGCTGTGAGTCTGCAGGTCATAAAGATGAGCCTGGGCTAGAAGAAAGTCATTGTCCCTATGATAATACTGTTAACTTGATGGGATCTAGAATTATTTAGGGGAAAAGCTTTGGGTGTGCCTGGAAGGGAGTTTTTAGTTTAGGTTAATGGAGATGCGAATACCCAGCCTAAATGTAGGTGGCACCATTCCATGGGCTGGGGTCCCAGACTGAATAAAAAGGGGAAAGTGAACTGAGCACCAGCGTTCATCTCTCTCTATTTCCTGACTGTGGATCCCATGTGACCAACGGCCTCATGCTTGTCCTAACCTTCTGTGGTGGACTGTGTCTTCCAACTGTGAGACAAATAAACTCTTCCTTAAATTGATTTGCAAGGTGTTTTGTTGCAGCGGTAAGAAGCCAATACAGTCCCTGACGTCCTAGTTTGCTTTCTATTGTGATGGCAAAGCACTCGGACCAAAAACAACTTGGGGAGGAAATTGCTTATTTGGCTTACACATCTGATCGCAGTTCATCATTGAGGAAAACCAGGGAAGAAACTCAAGGCAGGAACTTGGAGGCAGGAGCTGAAGCACAGGCCATAGAGAAACGCTGCTTACTGACTTGCTCCCCTGGCCTGTGCTCAGCCTGCTTTCTTATACAACCCAGGACCACCTGCCCAGGGGTGGAACCACCCACAGTGGGCTGGGCCCTCCCATATCATTCAACAATCAAGAAAATGCCTCACAGACATCACTACAGGCCAATCCAATAGAGGAAATTCCTCAGCTGAGGTTCCCTCTTCCCAGATGTGTCAGATGGACAAATAAAGCTATCCAGCACACCAACCTTTCGTGAGAACCTGTCTCTGGGTCTGGGTCTGTCAGCTGTGGAGATAGCAGTATTTTATAGCAGATGTATCTGCAGAGCCCCCTTCCAGAAGCTGTGGGCAACAGACATCTACAAGGTGCTGAGCAGGAGAGGGAGAGACCTGAGTGACAGGGAAGCTGTGGACTCAGAGCAAGTGATTCAACCTCTGTGAGCGTAGGCTCCCAACACAGGAAGATATAGGTTTGACAATGGTGGTCACTACATATATCCTACAGAAACAGTCACAGATGAGCCAGCTGCAGAGGACACAATAGGAGTTCCTATTTGAAACCTCGAGGAATGACTGTCTGGAGGGGCTCCGGGCCTTTATGGTCTGGGGTCTTGATATAAAGGGTTTTTCTGCTTCTCCTAGACAAGTCTCAGAGCACTTCTACCTCTCTGGGTTGTGCAAAGTCAGATGCTGGGCTCTCAAGTGAAACACTGTCTTTTAAATTTTTTCCTTTCTGGTGCTGGAGTTGGAACTCAAGGCCCCACACATGCTAAGGCAAGTGTTTCATTGCTGAGTCACACCTCCAGTCCCTAGATTTTACCTTGAATGTGTAAGTGTCAGGTTAACCCTATGGAAAGCAGGGGCTTTTCCAAGTCCCTGACCATCTGCAAACCTGGACTTGGAACACAGAAGCTGAGCATTCCAAAGCCATCGAGCTGTCCAGGAGTGGGATGGCTCCATGCTGCCCAGAGGTTTCTGGCACGACACAGGCCAACAAAGGCTCCAGTTCATGGCTGAGTGACTCAGGATGTTTGTGGCCACCATCTGCACATTAAATAAACTTCAGGGCTTCAAGGCAAGATACCTGGGAACATTTTTTTTTTTTTAGTTCCAGGCTGGCCTGGAACTTGCTATGTAGCTAAGGATGACCTTGAACTCCTGATCTCCTGCTGCTTCGGTCTCCTTACTGCTGAGGTTACAGGTGTGCACTATCACACATAGTTTATGTGGTGCTGGAGACACAGCCCAAGGCTTTGTGTATGCTAGGCAAGCACTGTACCAAGTGAGCTCCCTTCCTGGGTTAAAAGGGAACATTTCTAACACAGAGAAATCTCATCTTTGGTTGAAGTGGAAAATTCACACTATTGATCAAAGGGAGACCTGAACCCTGACAGGCTTCATCA